TAGATGTATTATCCAACAGCAAGATGAAAAGCTGCCTTGGAGGCCTACAGCATAAATTTGTGGGAAATCAGAGGAGGTTATTGTTGCAGTCACAACCGAAGAACTACACAAATAGAGGAGGGAGGAGGAAGTTAGCAATATTCAGCAATTCATATAACCATGTTTGATAAGTGGCTGCAGATAGGTAGCAAAGAGTAGAGAAGAATCTGCTATCACTCATTTGTTTTTGATAGAAGTAACTAGAGAATGGGGAGTTACTATTTACTATAATGGGGGATTGACCATGGAAAGCAAGTACATGATTATGCGATAAGGGGGAACATACTGAAATGATGAGTTATGGGTACCCTAGCAAGTTGATACATTTTGAAAGTATATTCATGCATCTGAAACTCAAGAAAAGGACTGGGCTACACAGGACAGATGAACCCAAAGATGTAGGTAGGTGTTTAAAACATCAGAGTAGATGATATCACTTGGACAGATTTTTTTTTTTGACAAACATTACATTTTACTTGAAAAGTATTAAAAGTGAACACTGAAGTAATTAAAATGTATGACATATACTACATTCACTTTATTGTTTATTTCACAGCCTCTTCTCCCCCACTGGAACTCATATACTCTGTCATCCGTATAAAGGCCCAATGTATCAAGTCAGTGTCCCCAGATGTTCCCCTGTGCAAGTCCATCCACTGAGGTCTAGTCAGCCTATCTAGAGTCTCTTGTTTTAGGAAGATCAGCTCTTCCTCACCCAGCTGTAATCAGCTGCCAATGCCTCCTCTGGTAAGAGTGGGGTCTGCTGTTCATTTCCCCAGTTCCAGGCTGGATTTTTGTCTGCTTAAGTTTGCATGGGACTTTTGTATGCTGACACCATTATCATAGATTAGACGTATTTTTGTAACAGGAAAAACACAGTGAGCCAACAATGGAGCTTGGGAAACATGTTTTTAATGACTTAGATGATATGGAACAGGCAAAAACAACAACAAGCTGCCCTGAACAAATAAAACAAAGCAAAGCACAACCACAAATGTGTTTAGGTAGATCAGAGAGACCTCAGTTGTAACATCTGGCAGAAGAAGAAATTTCCAGAAGGTCCAGCAAGCAACAAGCCAATAACTTGAACAGAAATGCTTGCAAAATAAGAAATGACAAGTGATCATGAGGTTTCAAAATATGGTCATCCCCAGTGTCTTTTGCCAGGATATGCCTAATAGCATATTAAGAGCTGGGAAAATTGCTTTGATGAATCAAGTATGAGAAGGCTTAAAATTAAGAATATGTACTACTTACTAAGAAACAACTGAAAAGAGGAATGACAAGTCAATAGTGAGAAGACTTATCTTTATACAAGGACGTCTTTGAGATAAAAGAGTAAACAAAAAAGTTTGCCCCTCTCACAGCAGGTAGAGAAGCAGCCCACTTCCATCTGCACATCTTTTTTGGGTTGTGATCTTATAATTCTGGAAGAGTCATGTCTTCCTAGTTGCATCATCTTCACTTTTTGAAGTGAGCATTAAATCATCCCAAATTCTCCACTTTCCCATAATGCTTCCTTTATTTCTCACTTATACTAATTGAATGATGTTACCCTTTGCATGTTTTCCTTTCACTAGATTATGTTCCTTGGAAATATAATTATATCTTTTATTTCCAGTCCCTACCCCATATTCTGGCACATATTAAGTCCCCAACCTTTTAAATCCATTGCTTCTTATTTATCAATGTGAAAAGGAATCTCAAACTGCTCTGATCTACAGACAGACTCTTTTTATTTGTGCACAGATATATTTATTCCTCTGGCGTTTTCCTTAATAACTTTTATATTCATTATTGATTTTATACTGAATTATACATCAGATCTTCCAATACATTGTCTAGTTCAAACACCAACAATTCCTATCTACAGTAGGTAGCAATGACTTTTGGATCTGTCTAGTAATGCCTGCCTTCCATCTCTCTCCAAATTATCTTACCTTACAGCAACAAGAATGTTATTTAAAGACACACTTCTAACCATACTTTTGCACTCACCAAAATGCAAATTTCTCTCAGTGCACTGATAATACAACACTCATATGCTAAGCATGTTCTCCTGTGATGCATGTGTCCTGCCTCTGCTAGCTTTCTGAAATCTGGCATTTGCTCATCTATCTTACCATATGTGTTGCCTTCCTGGTCAGGAACACCTTCTTCTTATCATTTTCTAGCTGTTCCTATTTCTCACATAATTCATTTCTCCAGAGAGATCTTCCTTGACCACAAATTTTAACTGTATGTTCTCTAATATTTTAATTTTTTTCCTGTTATTTTACTTTACTTCATATTTGTTAATACAGTTTGTCTGTGTGTGTGTGTGTTTGTGTTTAAAGCTTTTTTTCCACATGAAAAGAGATATAAAAGATTATGCTATAGAGACCAAATGGCATGAGAAACATGTTTGTTTCCCTATTCAATTTCATCACCCATTACTATAATGAAAACAGTAATAATATGTATTATATAATGAAAACAGTAATAATATGTAATAATATGAAGTGATGGACCCATGATAATTTTCAATAGAACAAGACAAAATGTCGCACCTAGATGCAATGTGCTGGCTGTGTCCATGGGTACATCACTCATGGATTCAAATAACTGCAGGCAAATAAAAGTACAGAAACAATTTTATCTGTATTAAACAAGCACAGACATTTTGTTTCTTTATCATTCTTCTCTAAGCAATATAAAAGTTATTTAAGAAGCTTTTTATACATTTGGTCTTAAAAATAATCTACAGATGATTGAAGGTTTGTAGGAGACTATGCGCAGGTGATATGTAAATGTTACATTATTTTATTTAAGGAATTTGAGTGTTTACAGATTTTAAAAATAAACCCAGCACAGATATCAAGACACCAGTGTTATTCATTCACAAGATGCTTAGCCATGTGTTCTGAATACTCTTAGTGTCAACTTGACACACCTGGGTTGAGGGAGCCTCAACTGGGGAATTGCCTCTATTGGACTGGCCTGTGGCCATGTCTGAAGGGCATCTTCTTGATGAGTGATGTGGGAGGGCCCAGCCCACTGTGGGTGGTACCATCCCTGGGCAGGTGGGCCTGTGTTGCATAAGAAAGCAGGCTGAGCAGGGGCCAAGGGAGCAAGCCAGTAAGCAGCACTCCTCCATGGCCTGTACTCCAGCTCCTGCTTCCAGGTTTCTGCCCTGAGTTCCTACCTTGGGCTCCCTGATGAACTACAACCTGGAAGATATAAGCTGAATAAACCCTTTCCTCCTCAAGTTGGTAGTGGTCAGAGTGTTTTGTCACAGCATTGGAAAAACAAATTAGGACACCATGCAAGATTATTAACAGAGGAGATAATTTTAAAGTTCAGCAGTAATCTTAGTTGAAATAAAAAAAAACCACACACAATGAATTAACACAAGGAAACCAGTAATAGTGTGTCACACTTACCTCCTCAGAAAACTAAATACAATAACCTTTACTTTTTGGCATTTTAATTTTATGTTATCGCACACATAATTCATGTATTCCACAAAATTCATTGAGGATTAGTGTTTATCACTGAGTCAGCTGTGGGAATACTGGGATGTTTAAGAACATCAGAAAGCTCATCTAGTTGTAGTAACAGAACTCAAATGCTACCACAAGGCATTTGGATCTTTTATTAAATGAGATATTTTGAAGAGAAAGAAATGCTTCTGTATAAATACCATTCGCTAATAAAAAGTCTCAGTGTGAGCAAGTCTCCAAAGGCTCCAGATCACAAGATTTTTATAATCAAGGTTTTGAAATAAGCTATCACAAAGGCCATGGATAATCACTTGTCCTGAGAGGGAGGGAATCTAACACTAACAACCTTATGATCCAGCCTCCGGGAGTCCAATTCTATAATTGATCTTAATTCTGAAACCACTAGGCAGCATATGATGGGCCCTGTTCTTGGAATGCTCCTTTGGGTCTCATTTTATTATACTGGGCTACATAAGGCCATCCTCATGTAAGTATGTGCTGTGCTTTGAGCATATTCATTTAGATATTCTCTTACCCTCCTCTTTCCTCCCCCTCCTCCCTTCTCATCAGTCCCCCTGTTTCCCTAGATTGTGCTGCTTCTGCTTTGATGTCCTCTGTACATGTAAGATTTTAAGTTTCTGTAAAGTCTAAGAGAGAAAACATGCAATATTTAAGTCAGAAAGCTGTCTGACTTAACTTGCTTAATATGATTACCTCCATGCATTCATTATATTATGTGTGTAGTTTGCCTGTAGCATTACACTGTGAACTTCCTTAAGACAGAAGCATTGTATTGATTTCAGTGTCTGTAATTAATTAGTAGGTAAATATGCATATGATGTAAGTATATTGATGATGTGTTGGAAGGAGGATTATAGGGAGTTAGGGTTTGTTTTCCTATTGGAAATGTTAGTAAGAATGGTGTAGCTCAATAAACACAATACAGCATAATGGAGCATCCTTCAAAGTAAAGACCAAACACCAATCAAACAAGAACAAGCACCAAACAAGGACAACCCTGTCTTGCTTTAGGCCAACATTGTTTCAAAAATCATTAGTTGGAGGCTTTGGGTCTCAAAAAGAGGAAAAGCATTAAGAAAAGCAAATAATTTCAGTCAAATTTCTATCTTTTTGTTCTTGTGGTTGTGACATATTTCACTCTCCTCACAGGAAGCTCGGGGACTACTTGGAAAATTCTGGAAATGTTCTGAGGATGGGCTGAGAGTGTCCAATTGACAACAAAGAACTCTGATATAATTGAAGAATGAGGATAGAAATTGAGCTGATCTTCCTGTTAGCTCTAAAGCTCTTCACGATACATTAGGCATTGGAAAGCTTGTGGTCTGAAGGTAATTCTTTGTCCCATAAGACTATCCTCAAAGAAAAGTTTTTGGAGGTATGACCCTCTCATCCCAATGGCTATATCAGTTTTCAGTTGATGAGGGAGGAAAGTGCTGACATGGTGGGTGATACATGTACCTGTCAAGTCGTCAGTGGGCCAGGACCCCAGCTGGCAAGCCTTGCAGGTGTACTCATCAAAGACATACTCATTCTCTTTACAGGGTGTGCAAGTCCAACAGCAGCTGACTTCCCCCTTTCGGATCACCTAAGGGAATATTTAAAATTTTGATTAATGTTTCTGTAAAGAAAAAAAATCAGAAATCTCTTATTCGAATGTATAACTGTGCTTTGCAAACAGAAAAGGCCTTCATCACATACTTTATTTAAATATTATTAGGTTAGAGGAAGAGTTAATCCACTTATTTTATAAAGAAACTGAAGATCAGTTTAAATAATGAGTCCAGCATCATAAAGTAGATTGGCAGGGAGGGTTGAGAATTACATTACACGTAGGTCTTTGGATAATTGGCTTAGAATACTGGTATTCACCCAAACACAGTGCTTGTCTTCATGTTGATATACATATACATGAACAAAATTGAATTCTCCCTAGGATTTATGCCCTTCCTTTCCTCAAATTAAGAAATTTGATTCTCTGTACACCACTCTCTTAGTTGTGAAGAAAGGCTATTTTGTATCTTCTTGTTTTTAAAAAAATCCACCTATATTGACAACATAAGTATAAATATACATTGGATAGAAAAACAGAGGCAGAAAACAAGGGATTTTGAGGGAGATCATCTTTTTCTAAACATCTGGTTCAATAATCCAGCCCATTCCCTCTGCTTTAGCAGGTTTCCTTTGCCCAGAATGGTTGGTGTCCAGGGGACTGATGCTGTTACACACTATTCACCTATAGGCAGTAGAATAAAACTGAAATAACTTAACAGTTCAGGTAGTTCCTGATGTTAGTCTTTAGAATCAGATGTGTCTTTTATTTCTCATCACTGCTACATTTTAGACTGGAACGACGAGAGACATAATTCATTCAGTAATCGCATAAATAATTTAAACAACGATTATATTTGATATTGTTTGTCTTAGATGCTAGGTTTATTAATAAACTGATAATAATATTATCTAAGTGCTTGTAGTCAAATGTGATTATAAATGTACTTTTCACTGTTTGTGTTGTCTCTTATGCTGATTCTTTTGTTGTCATTATGAACACACATTCCTTGTAAAAAATAATGGGTCTCAATATGACATTTTCATTTGTATATACCATGCACTTTGGTCACAGCTGCCTCCATTTCCTCTTTTGCAGCATGCTAGTGTGCATTCTTTTCACAAATATTTGCTTTTATGTTCATGTGGATTCTCCTTGTGTTGACCCTTAAGATTGCAACAACGAAAGTGAGGTTCCGAAACATCCTCTCTCCAAAATAATCCTTCAAGTGAACCAAAACTGATTATTAGACATGATTAATCTAATTATGATATTCTTCATCATAATATTGACAGCTGCAGGCTATTTAGAATATGCCATACGCTGTGATCCCATTAAACCATCAAAACACTGGAACAGCTCGGTATGAGTGACCTGTTTCTATTTCATTCAATTTTAAGGGAACAAAGTAAGAGACAGTCAGCTCACATGACATGTTAGGATAAATAGATGATGCATAGTGGACTTTAAGACCCATGCTTACACATATCTTACTGGAAAATAGAACTCATAACATTATGAAATACATGGAGGAAAGAATTCTGGGCCCATAATGAAGAAGGACCATGTTTTCATCTTGCTTATAGCCCAAAAGTACTTCCAGAGCTTTAAACAGTCCCTCAGCTAATGCTCAACTTCTTCAAGTAAGCTTTTTGGTTTTTTTTTATACTGCTACTAGTTTTGTAGAATTTCCTGAGGATAAACTATTAGTGATTGACGAAGTATAAGACTCTAAGATATTTTTGATTTTTAATTATTTATAAACAATAAATCCTCATATGATGGAAGAGCTTTATTCTCAAGATCATTCCGACTATTTTTAGGTCGTTGTTAGATTATATAATAGAAATATCCTTATTTAAAATATTGAACCTCTCTTTTGAGACTTTAGTAAGTATTGGCAAACAGAATATATGGCATTTTTCACCCTTGACATATACTGACATTTTCTGACTTATTTTTCTTTGGTTGTGAATTTCAATATTTTGCCAAAATCAATGCATATGCTTTTCTAAGAATAATTTCACATGCCCTGTTCTGATTTACATTAATTTTCTTTTTATTACAAGCTATAGTGACAATGCTCTTTCCTAGTGGTTCCTACTCTGAAAAAAACTAGAAGAGGGGCTTTCTTTATTTTTAAGATTTTTATTTATGTATGCATGTGTGTGTGTGTGTGTGTGTGTGTGTGTGTGTGTGTGTGTGTGCCTCCATGAGCCATAAGAGGGCATTAGTTCCCTTGGAGCTGAATTACAGGTACTTGTGAGTTTCCTGATGTGGGGGCTCAAAACAAAATTTAGGTCTTTTGGAGGAACAGGAAGCACTCTTAAGCATGGAGCCATCTCCTCAGTACTATTTTCATTGTTGTCTGTTTTTTTTTTTTTTTCATTTTTTGAGACAAGATCTTACTATGAAGCTCTGATTGGCCTAGAGCTCACTATGTAAACCAGGCTGGCCTCAGACTCACAGAGATCTGCCTGTCTCTACCTTCCAAGTGCTTGGGTTAAAAGTGTGTGCCACCACACCAGGTGGAGTTGCTTTATCACCAAAACACACAAAGTCTTCACAGAAATATATCTCTGAATAATACCATTATGGATTATGCCATGGATGAATTTGCTCAATTGCAACTTTAAGCCATTTTAAGATGTGTTAGTAAATGTATATTGAATAGCATGAAAATGAGCTCTATATAAGAAAACTGAGCTTAGAAATTAGAAAATGACAAAAAAGTAAATAACCAGTGCTAAACTATGATGACAAGGAATAAAATTCCTCTGCTGTGCACATTATACCATGCACTACAGGGTAGAAATAATTGTGAAGAAATCTCCCAAATCACCCATTCTGAAAGTACATGTTCAAACTATCTGTATGAAATATCAAAGCACATGGAACATCTCCACGGTAATTTACAGTACATAAACTTTCTATAAGAAGCATTCAAAGTTATGAAGAGTTGATATTTTAGATGAATCCATAAAGGCTTTTACTTGAAGAATTTAGCTGTAGGGTGACTGGCTTAGATATAGAACTTTTTCATCATCAAGTACCAAGAGTTAGAAAGCTTTTGTGCTGAATATTTAGGGTTTAGGGCATGCAGATCCTATCACAACCCCTTTAGCTAACTGTGCTGCTATAATGTGAGAGCACTCACAGACAACATATTAAAGTAAATATTAAGCTAGGTTGTATTTCAATAAAACTTATGTATAGAGACAGGCACCAGGTCAGATTTAGCCTTTGGGTCATAGTTTCAACTCTTGTAGTTGTCATAACAACACATAAAGATGCTTTCATATATTTCCTAAGCCATTAAGTTATTTGGTTGGTACTAAAATTATTTTTCCTTTGTAGGTCTTGCTTTCCTTATGTCCTGCATTATGCTTGTCAAATCCTCCTAATCATCCTTCAAAACCCTACAATCTGTATTCATACATTTCAGTTTCTTTGTAACATCTCAAATGTTTTGTAAACCTGAGTAAAGGTGAGCTTGATATTAAAGACCCAGGGAAACTGCTTCAGGAATCTACCATGCCTGAAATGGTAATATATACATTTTAATGAGCAAATAAATTATTTTTATATTTTTTTCTTCAGGACATTATAGTTCAATAGTAAACTTTTTCTGTTTTCTTAATTGTATTTTCTTTTTAAAATATATTTTTTATTGCTTTTATGTGTATGAGTGTATTGCCTGCATGTATGTAAGTGTATCACATGAGTGCAATATCCTGCAGAGGCCAGAAGAGTGTGCCAGATCCCCTGGAACTGAAGTTATGGATGGTTGTTAGCTACCCTGTGGGTTCTAGGAATTGAACCTAAGTTGTCTGCAAGAGTGGTCAGTGTTCTTAACCCCTGAGCCATCTCTGTAGTCCACTTAATTGTATTTTCATCTCTTCAGTGACTTTTTATTTCATGGACAGACCACACTTAACTTAAAACTAGCTTCCTTTGTCCTCAGGTTATAAAAACACAACTTGCCTTCTTTTTCTCATGTACTCTTTTGTGTACATCACTGTACTTTGTCCACCTGGTAGAGCGTCTATCCTGGGCAGATGCAGAGAAAAGGCTAATTCTCAGTCCTTATGTCTCTTTCTTCCTCCTTCCTGACATTCCTTGGCTTGACTGACAGCATTTCTCTGGTGTCCCTCTCTCTGAATTGGCAGCTGTTCAGTCTCTACTTCTTCCTTTATACTTTCAAAGCAGATATTCTTGAAGCCTTAATTTTGGTACATATTGTTTCAGTTTCTCTAAACTTTCAGGGTGTGCATTTTAAATGTATTAACAATCTCTGCTTAATATATTCTTAAGTCTGGATCTTTGGCCTTAATTTTCTTTGCTCTAGAAGAATCATTACTGGCTTGCTACGTCAAAACTAACAAACCTGAAAACTAACCCATCATCTTTTTTATTAACCCCCTTTATTTTCTTTACTTTATGGTGTGTGTATGTGTGTGTGTGTGTGTGTGTGTGTGTGTGTGTGTATAAATGATTCACAACTTGCAGGAGCTGGTTTTATTCCTTTATGGTGTGGATCCAGAAATTGGACTCATAGCTTCAACAAATATTTTTACTTGCTGAACTATTATTAAGCCTGGGAGTGAAAACTGATTTTCTTGTACATTTTTTTTTCTTCCATAACTCAACATTTAATCAGCAGCTAGGACTGACCCCTCTACAAAGCTTCTCTAATGTCCCTCTTGTTCCCTTCTTTACTTGCATTATTCCTTTCCTTGTCATCACTCTCACTGTTCTTTACCTGAATGCTTCCTTTTTCCTTTTATTATTTATTATTTATTTATTTATTTTTATATTTACCTATTTAAAAATATTTTGTTTATTATTTTTATTTTATGTGTATGCATGTATTGTCTGCATGTAGATAAGTGCATCCATGTCATGCAATACCCATGGATGACAGAAGAGGCTGTCGGATCCTCTGGATCTGGAGTTATGGACAGTTGTTAGCTGCCATGTGGGTGCTGGGATTCAAACCCTGGTCTTTTGCAAGAACAACCAGTGTTCTTAACTGTTGAGCCATCTCTCCATCCCTTATTTTTCTATTTATATATATATGAGTGTTATGTCTGTGTGTATGTAAGTACACCCACGTTGTGCAGTACTTGCAAAGGCCAGAAGAAGGTGTTGGATCCCCTGGAACTGGAGTTAAGGATGGTTGTCAACCAACATATGAGTGCTGAGATTTGAACCTGGTCTTCTGCAAGAGCAGACAATGGTCTTAAATGCTAAGCCATCTCTCCAGGCCCCAACTCTTCCTTTTTTCATGTTTAGTAACTCTACTCATTAATATCATCTACTGCAGTTCAACTTGAGTTGGCATCTTGACCAAGATTATTTTTACTTCTGTTTTATGAGTTGTCTATTGAAACTACCAGGCATGGTGGCACATACCTGTAATCCTAGCACTTGGGAGGCAGAGGAAGGCAAATATCTATGATTTCAAGGCCAGCCTGGTATACATAGTGAATTCTAGGTTAGCTGGGGCTACAGGGAGACCCTGTTTCAAAAAGACTGAAAAAAAATCTGTCTATTTAAAATGATTTGGAAAATCCTTCCTAAACTTGGCCTTAACTTGTCATTTTTGACTTTTTCTATCAAAGTAAATACTTAAGGGCAATAATTTTTGCATCTCAGATTGCTCACTATCTTTATGGTGCCTATTTGATTACTTCTGCACCTTCCTTATTAATATTTACATGAATGATCCCTCTCTCTGAATTCATATTCATGTTTCAATTTTCATTCAGAAGGAGTCTCCTCGATTTTTTTTCTCTTAATGAAGTTATCACATTTTCAAGGTATCACCTGTGCATATAATATTTTCCCTCATTTCATTTGGATTAATATTTTCTAAAGATGTGTTTTATTTTTAACTATGTATGTGTGTCTGTGTATGGGTATGTGCATATGAATATTGTACCTGTGGAGACCAGAGGGATTGGGTCCCTGTAGCTAGAGCAGTTGTGAGCTATTCAATGTGGGTGCTAGGAACTGAAATAGTACCTTCTAGAAGAGCAATATGTGCTCTTAACCACTGAGTCATCTCTTCATCCTCCTAGACTAATCTGATGATAGAGAATATCACACTTATTTTTTTCTGATTGATCTTAAATATTACATGGAAATGTTTGATAGATATATGTTTTTCAACTCTAAAATATTCATTTTCAGGGAGTATTATCTTTAAAGTCTTGCATAAATAATAAGAGTTATCAGGACAAAACATGACCAATCAATTGGCTCAATGAATTCACATCAACTGCTAAGGCAATTAAGGGCTGAATTCTAAGCATCCTGAAGAATTAATCAGAATACAGTAAAAATAATTCCACCACTAAAATCTTGCAATATAAAAGATAAAAAGTATCAAATGGAGAAAAGTAGCCAATGAGAGTTAACACTGTTAAATTTGTAACAACAATTAAAGAAACATTGGTTCTATTTTACCTTTATCTGGCCTTTCTCACAGGGCTCACTGCACACAGATCTGATGATGTGATTTTTCTTGGACCACACTTCATCATCATCCATTTTTAATTCCCCATTGTCCCAACTTCCAACATTGATGTAATCAAAATAATCTTTTCCCATTTCCTTGAAATTCATTATTTCATACCTTAGAAACAAGAATATAATAATTATTCAGTCAAGAACAAAAATACTCATCTGTGAAAAGGCAAAAGGCTTTATTCCCCCAAATACGTTTACTGTTGTGTTAGTCATATTGTACTTTTCCATAATAATACATTTAGAATAGAAAAATCCTGCCCCTTTCATTTTCACTTTCAATTTTTACATTCAGGCTTTCAACTGAAATAGACAATCCCCAGTGGTAAAGTACCTGGGTCTCAGCAAGGATGAAAGACAGCTTTGAAATAACTTTAAGAAGTTTAAACAATGCCTTCTGAAAAAGATAGGCAAGTATCTAACTACATTCAACTCGCATACTAAAAATTTCCTTTACTAACCGTGAAATTTGGTTACTCCTAGAACTGGTTTTAGCTGTAAGAAATACAGAGGTAATTTAGAAAGGTTCTGATTTTGCCCCTATTTTGCACCTTATAAATGGTTATAGTCATTGCATAAAGGCAATGAAAGGAGTTTTAGTTTTCTTTTTTAAAACATTACTTTTTATTTTTATGTATCTCTAAGTGTTGATGTACAGGAGACTGCTGAGGCCAAAAGAGGGAATTGGGTCCCCTAGAACTTGAGTTAGAAGCAGTTATGAACAGCCGTGAGGGCGCTAAGAACCGAATCTGTGTCCTCTGCAAGGGTAGTAAATGTTCGTAAGTTCTGAGCTATCTCTTTCTCCAGCCCCAGGGCTGTTTTTTGTTTGTTTGTTTGTTGTTTGTTTGTTTTTTAAATTCTGAAAACAGTTTCTATACCATCTTTTGTAGAAGAATACTGGAAAGTAAATGCATGTCGTCAGTTCTCAACTTTTCTTAGCTTTATGCTTATTTTGTGTGGAGGGACAGAAATACAACATGGGCAAATCAACATTTCACAAATCTTTTCTCACATGTAAAAACATCTCTTGAGGAGCATTTCTGAAATAATTTTCACAACAGAGGTCATTAGATGAACTGCACCACAGCTCTATTCATTCCTATGGGTGATCCTAGGCATGGGAGGTCCTCACATAGTATACTGAACTTTTTACCTCCCATAGCTTTCAGTACTGGCAGCAGATACACATTCATGAATGTTTCTTCTAACTTTCTGTGTTCAGCATGTTTATCTATTTGGTAACTGTTATGGATGGACGTATTTAGAGCTTTGGTGTTTTGCTGACCAAACTGCCATACTCAAACCAGTACTCTATGTAGAAACACAAATTTGACATCAACCAATTGAAACTACATTGTAAAATTATGCCATTTTCAATTTAAAGTCAATTACATTTTAAAAACCATAGTTCATTTCAGAATGTTACTCTATTTAAATATTTGGTTGACTGTTCAGTAGCTTTAAGATTATTCTATTATGGTTTTTATATTTGTAGTCAATTTATTTTGGGCAACCATATAAATTACATTTCTAAATAAAAACTGTAGGGACACTGCCCATTCCACACTGTCAGAGTTGCCCCATGACTAGAAAGTATGTAATAAGTTAAGATATTAGAGTACGAGGCAGTGGAGTAAAAAAAATAACTGATGAAGTAAAAATAACTGATGTCACTGGCTATGACAGATACAAAGGCTTCTAAGTCTTAAAAGATGTATTTGGTTGGCAAATAACCTTTGTACCTTCTAGTCTGAAAGAAATGTCAGTTTCTGGAGACTTCTTTCTTGGCTACTTTTGATGTGAAGAGATAGTATCTTTTGCTCACTCAAGAATGCATTTCTACCAATTCACAATACTAAAAAGGTCTAGACTAAGATATTAATTATGTAGATAATGGAGTTGAAACTCAGTAAGGTTAATTGATATGAACAGGTTTTTAGAGAATGTATGTCAGGATCTTAACTAAGCCTCTGGACTTCAAGTCTGCTGTTCTTTCTTCTCATTAGATGAGTCCTGAACTATGTACATGAATGTTAGTTTTCTATTAAAAATACTCTAAAAGGTGAAGACATCTAGTTCTGGAAAAAATAAAAAAGAAACACATAAAACATTAAAGAATAATATATGTCATATTGACAGGAAAATTATTTCCAGAAATGTTGTCTTTTAATTTTTTTCTTTGATTCACTCATTTTTATTTTGTATCTATATGAGTGTTTTGTCTGCACCCATGCACCTGTGTCATGTAGCGTCTGTGGAGGCCAAAACTGGAGTTACAGATGGTTCTTAGCTTCTGTGTGGGTGTTGGGAACTGAAGCCCATTCCTCTGAAAGAGCAGTCTGTGTCCTTAACTATTGAGCCATCTCTCCAGCCCCGTAAGTCTTAATTTTGATTTAGCCTAACAAACAGTTATAATTGCTTTAGAGACAGTGAATCCTCCTATTGGAATTAGCCTTTGTTTCTACAAATTATTTCTTACCTATAAGATAAATAGGAAAAGATACTATCAGCAATAGCTTACCTGTGAAAATATACTATTGCTATAAAAACTTTAGTAGCCTTGCACTAAACAGAAAATAAACAGGGATAATTCCCCACACAAAGATTCCACTTCATTTCTTACTTGAAATGAACTTTTCAAAAATATCAGATAGGATGTAGATTGGATTCTTCATCAAAAGTGTTGAAATGAGTCCCTCAAAAAATATCCTGGGACTGGAAAGATGGTTCAGCAGTTAAGAGCACGACTGCTTTGCAGAGGACCCCGGGTTCGATTTCCAGCACCCACTTGGTGGCTATGAACTGTCCTTAACTCAAGTTCCAGGGGAATCTGAAGCCTTCTTCTGACCTCTGCAGCATTGCATGGCATATGTGCACTCACATGCATGCAGGCAATACACTCATACACATAAAAATAATAAATAAAATATTTTTTAAAATCCTTGTTTATATTTTAGGTAAGAATTGAACATTTAGTGGCTCTCTGCAGTGTTTTTCCAATATTTAATCTAAAATATTGGATTTTATTTTCCCAAAAGAGATGAAATGCCTTCAGCACATGCTTTTCACTTGACAGATATGGTAAAGATCTCAGTTCCAAAAAATTCAATGGCAGAAACAAAGATTAGAGTGTTGTTCTGTTAACAGGACCCTTCAAGTGAGTATGACTCCTTCAAAAAAAAAAAAAAAGAAAAAGTAAAAAATTTCCAAAATCATATTCCAGCAAGCCTTATTCAATTACTAAACAGAAACTGGAGGAAATCTCAAGAAATCAGGGTATTTCTTAATGGTCAGAATTCTGAAAGTTACAGCAACCGTTCTCAGAAGAGATGGGATTGTTTCCCAGGGGCTGAAGAGAAGATGCTGTCCAGAATGGAACTATCACTTAGAGATGGGACTGTGAAGAGTGTGTGGTTCCTAGTATTTTATGTGAAGATTAATTTTTTTTAAAATTTATTTATTATTTTTATTTTATGTGTATGTGTGCATTGTCTGCATGTAGGTAAGTGCACCCGTGTCATGCAATGCCTGCAGAGGTCAGAAGAGGCTGTCAGATCCCCTGGAACTGGAGTTACAGACAGTTGTTATCTGCCATGTGGGTGCTGGGAGTCAAATCTGGGTCTTCTTCAAGAACAGTCAGTGTTCTTAACTGCTGATCATCTCTCCAGCCCCGAAGATCATTCCAAAATAAGGTAAATATAGAAGTGGGAAGGATCAAATGGGGTGGGGAACAGGAAAGCAGGGTAGAGAAAGGAGTATGGTAAGGAATCACTAACACTGAAGGCCTTTAGAAAACATCGTATGGAAGCCTACCAATATAGAAGATACCTAAAAGATAAAGATAAACATATACATCATGAACAGATTAATAAGTAGGAAATATAAATATGATAAAATATATAATAATATCATAAAAAATCATTAAAAAATAAATGAAAACGTGATTATTAAATATGTGCCAAGTTGGCAGCATGCTTATCCTACATACTCCAAGCTCAGGTCCACAAAATGAAGCATTTTTAATGATCTGAGCCTCTGGGATTGTGTGATCACTGATTGAAGAGTGAACACAGAGAGAGTTTGACCAAAAGTTTACCAATATTATCAATATTTACAGTATTTCCATTAATGGAACTTTCTGCTATATAAGTTAAAAATACTTCAGTTGCAATATAAGAAAATTGATTTAAAAACCAAGGTGAATTCTCATTTGATGACTATGTATAAGGGCTGAATATTGTTCTTTCACTGTTTCAGGTCGATTATACAACCTTGTGCCTGTATCTTTGTTTTCCTGAGTCTCAGATTTCTATCCAGAAAAATAAAGATACTGATCTAGATCATCAGTTTCTGTATGTCCCGCACTGAACACAGCCACATATGAATTGTGTACAAACATGCCACTTTCTCATGTGATTTTACCCTTCCAGTCCTTTTCTCCTGTCTTATTTCAGGTTAATCTTTCTAAATCTTTTTATTGGCTTTATAACTCCTCCTCTTTATGCTGAAAAGTGTAGTAGGTACTTAAATGACAACAATATGCCTTCTTATTCTAGTTAAAGTTAATATTTAGTCATTAATATAAAAGATAAGAATCTTGGGGCTAGAGAGATGGCTCAATGATTATGAGAACTTCCTGCCTGAGGGAGGTAACTCAGACTCAGAAAAAGAAATGTCACAAGTTGTCTCTCACAGTTGGATGTGAATTTTGAAATCTTAAATCTTAATTTTTCAATTTGAAAATCCAGAGAGGTCAATAAACTAGTAAACAATCATGTGGTAAAGGGTCTTCCTGGGAGGGGAGGTACAATGCAGTGATATAAAAGGGGTCAGCAGGATAATAGAGTAGGAAGGGTTAAATGGGGTGAGAAATGGGAGGGCACATCAGAGGAAGGAATAGGGGAGGGTTTCCTAACACTAAAGGCCTTTAGAAAAAGTCATATGGAAACCTACCACTATAGAAGTTAAAGTATATACATACTCATTATAGAAAGAGATTTGAATGTGTACCTTATAAAAAGAGGACATTGCCCCTCCTAGACACCATAGGCTAGCAAAGTAAAAGCCCAATGCCATGAACTTCCCTCTTTTGAAGTTGTTGATTGTATC